CCAGAATTTGTGACTAAAATGCTACTTTGTAATTTCTAAGGTTGTATCTGGTTGTGGTAAGAAAAGGATTTTAAATTCATGTCGTCTCTTTCTGGCATAAATTGTCCTCTTTGACTCTCATGATGGCTCCTGGAGGCAGGAATTATTTTCACTGTGACAAGAAAGCTGTCAGTTGAAGAGACCTCTGCAAAGGCCTGTGGGAGGAGCCCTGACGGCAGAGCGCCTGTGGACCGAGCACTCTGCAAAGGCCTGTGGGAGGAGCCCTGATGGCAGAGCGCCTGTGGACCGAGCACGCGTGAGGCCCTGGTTCAATCCCCAGGACAACAGGAACTGATACAGTAGCACTTGCCCGTAATCCCAACACTTGGGAGGTAGAGGCAGAAGGGTCAGTAGTTGAAGGACAGGCTTGAGTACATAGCAAATTCGAGGCCAACCTGGGCTACACAAGGCCCCATCTCAAAAAGAAAAAAAGAGTCAGCAAAATTATTAAGTGAAAAGCTGAGTCAATGCTTGAACATAGATCGGACACCAAAGAGAGTCCAATTCTTTCTGTTCTCCCTCCTGAAGTGAAGGACAGAAAAATGTATGTACTAAGTGTCAAACTGGCTCTGGCCATCTGGGAGGAGAGTCTGCCTAGTTCTAATATGAACAGTGATCCATCTGTCCTGGACAAACTTTTACACCAGTTCAATCCCTCTACAGAATAATCCCATCCTCATAAAATAGGGGGATATGAATACATTTCCTTGGCAGGTGTGGTGGCTTTAGAGAAAATGGCCCCCATAGGGACTGGAGCTAGTAGGAGGTGTGGGAGTTTGAATGTAGTTGGCCACCATAATCTCATAGTGAGTGGCACTATTAGGAGGTGTGGCTTCGTTGGAATGGGTGTGGCCTTGTTTGAGGAAGTGTGTCACTATCGGGGAGGATTTTGAGGTCTCCTATGCTCGGGATACTGCCCAATGTTTCAGTCAACTTCTTGTTACTTCTGAGTCAAGATGTAGGACTCTTGGCTCCAGAACCATGTCTACCTGCATGCTGCCATGCTCCCCATCATAATGATAATGGACTGAACATCTGAAACTATAAACCACCCTCAACTCTCCATATAAGAGTTGCCATGGTCATGATGTCTCTTCACAGCAATAAAAAACCTAACTGAGACAGAAGGTGTGGCTCTGTTGGTTTAGTGTGTCTCATCCACTTTCTGCGGCCTGCTGGTCCAGATGCAGAACTCTCAGCTACCTGCCTCTTCAGCACCATGTCTGCCTGAGCGCCACCATGTTTCACACCATGACATAATGGACTAAACCTCTGAACTGTAAGGCGGGCCCATGAAATGTTCCCTTTATAAGAGTTGTCATGGTGTCTCTTCACAGCAGTGGACACCCTGTGACAAGTTATTCCCACACTTGATGGTGAGGCATTGGCTATAGGGCTGCTGTTGTTGGCACACCAACAGCAGTTCTGAGTTCAGGGGGTGTTCCCAGTTCGTAAGAGCTTGATTGTCCCCACTAGTCTCCTTCTGGGGTCTGGCTAAACATTTTCAGGAGGAATTTATCCTTTTGCATCATTTCAACAGTATTCAGATGGAAGTGGAGGAGTTCCCCTCACCAGAGAGGATCTAAAGGCCAGGGCTGCCTAGAGAACTGGTGGGTGGGTAAGTTCAGCAAAACTTACATTCAGGAGACCATAGGCAGACTTTTGTAATGGGCAGCAACATACACATAAAAATATCCATTCTCTCATTCTTAAAGGCTTCTAGGTCATTTGAAGAGCCTGAGATCCCTTTCGGGGTCATATGTGAAGAAGTCAGTCTATCTGCAGAATCCTCACTGTTGTGTCCAAAGCTTTTGACAGCACCTGTTGGTACTTGAGAATCCAATTTGCTCTTAACTCACCCCAGTAGATCACTTCAGCAGAAAGTTAGAATGGTTAATTAGAATGTAATTCTCCCAAATGGAGAGACAGTTCCAATTTCCCCAGAAGCAGCTTCAGGGTTAGTGTTAGTGGTTTGCAGAGCATTTTGTGATCTCTGCTGCATCAGGATGGTTTGTTTATAAGTGACTGGCTTATCTCATTGCAGATTATATCAGATGTGTACTTGTAGTGTTGTGATGTGTAAGGTTGAAATATCTTCCATAACAAGACTGTTAAGCAAGTAAATTCATATAATTTTGGTTAATAGTCTGTCTTCCTTAAAAACAAACAAACAAACAAACAAAATCCTTGCCAGGTAGTGCTGGTGCACACCTTTAATCCCAGCACTTGGGAGGCAGAGGCAGGTGAATCTCTATGAATTCAAGGCCAGCTTGGTCTCCAGAGTGAATTTCAGGACAACCAGGACTTCATCTCAAAAATCCAAAAAACCAACCAACCAAACAAACAAAAAACCTTGCAAATACAGTTTCTATTTAATAATTTATTTATAGTATACGCATGTGTTCATGTGGGCATGTATAGTTACTCATGAATGTGTGTGCACACATATGTGGTGGCCAAAAGGTCCAACCTGGGTTGTCTTCCTTTCTCTCCATTTTTTGAGACAAGGCCTCTCCCTGAACCTGGGTCTCTCTGATCTGGCTGGCCAGCGAACCCCAGGGATCTGCCATCTACCTCTCATTATTACTGGGGTCACAACTTGTGGTTGTGAAGCCCAGCTTTTTAAAGGTGGGTCCTGGAGTTCAGACTTGGCTCCGCATGCTTATATGGCTTGCACTTTACCTATTGAGACATTTTCCGAGCTCTCAGAGCACAGCGCTACTGTCCCAGGTTCCATCTTGCCCTCTCTATTGGCTCTATGTCTTTTCTCAATCAAGATGTTGGAGGCAGTTCTCAAAATTTGACTTAAAACAGAGTTGTAAACTTATTATGTAATTTATAGATAACTAAATGAAAGTAGAAACAGATATCTCAATACATAATGAGATGGAACAATTATGATATTGGTAATTAAATGGCCTTGTAATAAATGGTTGTATCACTATAAATATAGCACTGTCTCTTATTGTCTCTAATGTCACAAGTGCCTTATCTATAAGTGGATTTTTAAATTCATGGAGAGCTTGTGAAACCATGCATTTGGTTATTTGGTTAGCCTTTTATAGTGTTATTTTAAAGTATCGATCCAACCATTATGAACAAGTTTTCTTGGCTATCACTTTGTAAAAATTTTTCTAGACATTATTAAAGAAGTATCTAAATGTAGAGTATTTCACAGTTTTGGTGTCAGAGAAGGAAAGACAAAGACAAATAAAATAATTCCAGACAGAGACTTTCTGAATAAAATACCTGTTGTTTAGGGGAATGTGTGTGTGTGTGTGTGTGTGTGTGTGTGTGTGTGTGTGTGTGTGAGTCTCTGTGTCTGTGTGTGTCTCTATGTGTGTGTGTGTGTGTGTGTGTGTGTGTGTGATGTTCTGAAGGTTGGAGGCAGCTCACAGTTTTGGTGTCAGAGAAGGAAAGACAAAGACAAATAAAATAATTCCAGACAGAGACTTTCTGAATAAAATACCTGTTGTTTAGGGGAATG